TCCATTCCTAATTGAAAAGGTTCAATCTTTCTAATAAACTCATAACTTTGAAAAAAATATTCATTTTTTTTATATCTTTTTCAAATTCCAAATCTTAAATGGCCCACCTCTTAGAAGAAAATCAGCGTATGGATAGATGATAACTTTGTTTGTTATTTGCTAAGTATTATTAATGGGGAAGGGTGAATGTCGTCTGACTATAGGATACTTGAAGGATAAATTCATATGTGAATATTTATTAACATGTATTTTTGTGATATATACGAGGTCACGAGGTAGAGTGAATACCCCTCGTGACAAGGGATGCTGTAGTGTCCGAAACGTCGGGAATTATAAAAATTAAAATTAAACGCGATAAAATCCGTTGAATTACTTTTATTCAAAGTGAATACCTTTGTAAAACGTAGTGGTTATACAGTATAATATACTCTTTGACCTTTGCTTAAACAAACATCGCTCTTGCTGTAGTGGTATCGATCCTCTGATAACGGACCAAACACATGGACATTTTATAATATGCAAACTATGTGGTCCTAGTCTCGCGTGCGTCGAAACTGTTTCAGATATAAGTAAATAATAGGTGACACAAAGACTTCTTGATTCTTGAACATTGGCTCTCTCATAAACCTTAGGATGTATGCTAATGGATACGTGCTAATTTTCTACATCAAATACAAAACTATCGCATTTTGTTTTATTTGTGTTTAAGCTATGATAATTTTTTATTATTTACCTAGTTAATTCAATGTATTGTTTTAGAATCTGAATCGTAACATCGATTAATACATGAAAATTTAAAATACATATAATATACAGTTTTCATTCTAATTTAATTTGTTATAATTTTATATCTGCAAATAATTTTATACACATTACAAAAAAAAAACTAAGTTGTTTACCAATTAATCATTTCAAGGAATAGAACATAGTCTTTGGTATAGAATAGAAAATAGACAAGACATCAAAGTGATAACGATTTAATTCGTATAATATATATATATACTATAAACGTAGTGATTATGTACTCTATAGTATATACATACTTTATAGTCACAAAATATTTAATACTTACCAGGTCTCCAATCATCATGATCTGTGGTCAAAATAAATACTTGTAGTTTGAAACAATTTGGCACAAATTTCTATAAAGCGTCAACAAATTACGTCTTTACGTACGGTATACGGCTGAAACAACAAGTAAAAATCAAAACAAAAACAAACTCTCACCTTGATCCTGTCAGCAGTGTAACCAACATAAAATTAAAAAACCCACCAAACCAAAGTATAATTTCAAAACTACCAAATAACGCTAATAAGATATAAAAATTATATCAACTTTACTGCAAATTAAGAAAAATACGTTTATTTTATACAAACAATGTTTCAAATAAAAGCAATAAAATTAGTGTGCGTATGTGATGCGCGCTCCGCGCGTGTTCGTGTATGTGTGAGTGCGCGTGTATATGCATTCGTCGTACCTCCTATTAAATTCACCACTCTTAAAAAAGAGATCACTTTACCATTCCCGTGAATCCGACGCTCGCACACTGCCTCGATTCGCTAGAATGAATGCGTTATGTGTGTGACTAAAATTGCCAACAAAAAGAACTAAAATAAAAGTTGTGAAGCGTGGGAAGGTAATGGTTAGCCGCCAAATAGCAGTACTTGCATTGCTGTGTTCCTGTTTGAAAAGTTTATAGCGCTAATGTACACAAATTTAGAGGATAGCAAAAAAAAAGGTTTAAAGATCCTATATCACCCCTAGTATTACTCTCTATTTGTTCGTGAAGTTTTATTACTATCAGTTCAGCCATTTCGAAGATTAGCTCGGACAGATAGACAGACAAACGAATTTTTTAAAAATGGTTCTTCTATCTCAATGGAATGGAAATATATTATGCGAAAATATTAACAAACAAAATTAACAATAATTATGAAGAAAACTTATAACACGTCTAGACACACTAATGAGAAGTACTAGGCGTCTAGATCACAAATTAGCGAAACCGGATTGAATTTCTTTTCTTTTGTTTATGGCTTTTTAGCTATTTACTACTATTCATGCCAATGACAAGTCGGACTGATGATAGGACGTACGGACTTATCTATAACTTCATGGTACGGACGTACGGATGACGCATATCGCAATATATATTTTTTTAGTCTTTACAGGTAGGTGTGAGTGTAGATAGCGATAGCTTGCGAGCGAGAGGTGAAAAGAGGCAACGTCATTTTCAATCCCATTCTTTAAATGCACGGGTAGTTAACATTTAAATTAAACTACAACGCTATAGGTGTCAATGGACTGTAAAAGCCAATAACCACTTACAGGTTACTTGTAAATAGTCAAATTAAGATTTTCTACCGATCCATTAGCACGATGATTATATATATTTAACTGAATGCACGGGCGGCACAGGACCTACCTGGGGTACAAATTCGAACACTCCTTTATGCCTCGGGTCGGAGTTTGCGTATACATCAGAGAGGATTTCAATAAATTTGCAATACCACCCATACTATCAGGAGAATTGCCGGTCCATTGGGCGATGTACCAGAGTAACCAAAAGCAATTTTTCTGAACCGGTACAACTTAGGGGCCTTCAAGATAAGAGACTATTTTTTACGGCAACACACCTACAATTCCCGTGACATTGTATTTGTACATGGGCGACTTTAGGCGCTTACCTTCATGTGTATACGGGCTTAATAATAATGAAAACTCCATCTTATAACTATGTCGATGATTTGGTGAATATTATTGATAATCAAAAAAAGTGACATAAATAATTAACTTAGTAACATTAGTGTTCAAAGATTTACTTTTATTAACTGTTTATTTCACACAGTTAGATTTGTAACCATAGATATTGAAACAATTGGATTTATTGATAAACCAAAAAGGTTTTTAAGTTTTTGACATATTTTATAGTCTTTTCACCTGAGTTATCTAAGATTTTATCTGAAATAGCCTTCAAGAGATGATTTTTAGGCAAAATTTGTTCAATCTAGTTACTTTTGAGAATTGATCTGATCTAATGAAGGCTAATAATCTTCCACTCACCAGATGTCGCTAGCTGTGACTGGGGTAAAGGTTTTCGTTAAACAGTGTCAGGTAATTGAAAAATTAGTTTTAAATAATAGTTTATCATTATCTAGAGTATTATATTAATACACGACACAATGCGTTAGTGGTTTGTTTTTAATTTTTTGCACATTATAACTCTTTTTAAAAAATCGGCTTTTAGTTATATTTATAGCCTGCTTTATTCATTTCTATTGTAAATAATATAAAATATAACTAAAAATACAGAAAGAAAACTTAACTTTTTCTAAGAAATTATCGTCCCCGCTAATCTGTTATGTAAAACTGTCAAATGTTTTTCCTCGCTGTAAAGTGGCGCCGCCCTGGTGGCAGAAAAAGTCGTGGATGCCCTCATTTATTTAATTTTTAGTGGCAATACTGGTCAGATGTCAGGACCAAAGAATATAATGTATTATGCATCTGCTAGTGATGGGATACGAGTGACATTTTTTTCATTCGAGTCACTCGCCAGTGATAGTCTATATATAGTCACTCGAGTGCCACTCGAATGAAGATAAAACTCGAGTGACTTTAGACTTTAGTCAAAAACTAATAACACCATTGTTTTTCACGTTTTGTAAAGGTTATTTTTTTTATAGGATAAGGGTGACAAACGAGCACACAGTCCACCTGATGGTAAGTGGTTGCTGCGGCCCATAGACATCTACATCTATCCTCTATTACAAATCAAAATACAGATGCGTTGTCATCCGTAAGGACTAAGATGGAATGCCTCATTTCCATTAAAAAGGGCGACCGGCGACCTGCACCCACCAAGCGAAACGCAGAGGTAAACCTCTACTTCACGCTGGTATTCTGTAAGGTCGTGGTACCACCCCGGTTCGAGCCGGCCCATCCGTGCGACAGCAAAAGCCGCCACGTGGCTCTACCACTGTTGAAAATTTATTAGATTAGATCTTAACAAATCATTTTGATTAGAACTTGAGATTTTTTTGTTTCTGCTTAGTAAGCGATGCATTAGGTCTTGCAAGCAATCGTAGTTGCTGAAAACGCCGTTTCATTGATGTAAAATTGGAATCGGTAGACGTGGAAGCAGAACTCTCACCTTCAGTAGATTAAGAACACTCATGAGATGAACTTGACTCACCCCTAATATCCTTATACTGAATCTGATGTTTATTCTCCATATAAAGAGGAATCAAGGAGGTAGTATTCCAAAAGTATTTGTAACTTTCTTGCATAACTTAAAAATAACTATTTTTATTAAACATTTCTGTCGTAAAAGTTCCAAAAGAGCTATCTATCACTCATTTCGAACACGTACTAACAGCAAACAGTCTTAAATAAACATATTACTGAAAACAAACAACTCACTCAAACCAAGTACTTAATTTCAAATGGAAGATACATCGCCTAAACCTGTTTTAACTTGAATTTCTCACTCGAATGACTTGAGCCATTGGAATGGTTCAAGTCATTCGAGTTGACTCGAGTGCGAGTAAAATAAAAGCTACTCGAGTGAAACACGACTCGAGTCCCATCGCTAGCATTTGTATTGTCCGCTACATAGCCGACAACGGCATTACAAAATAAAGCGAAAGCAGTGACCACTCACCACTGTGACATTACAGATGACACTTGACAATTAAGTTTGAATATCATTATGATATTTTTTAGGATAGCGATGTGTTCAGGAATTCTGAATTATTCAAAATTTTAAATCTTCAGAGGAGATGTAAGACTTAGCTGATATTGATTTCGCAGGTTCGCATTGTTCGCAAGTTCCCAATAATCGATTTTTGGTTCATTGACATCGATGTTACGATGTTTGACATTTGTCAACATTGATGTTAAAACATCGATGTTTTAATTGTTAACATCGATGATCATCGATGTTCATGAACATCCCTAGTGTCAACGTCAGTCAGGTCAGGTTTTTGAGGTTTTTGATCTTGTGTTCTTGTGATTCTGATTTTTATAAAGTTGAATTTTTGTAAACATTTTCAAGTAATAAATAAAAAATGCCTAAGAAAAAAACTGGGCAGCGAAAGAAAGCAGAAAAACAGAAACAAAGGCAGAAAGAGATCCGAAATGCTAGGGAACACGTAGACATAGCTCAGCACCCTTGCAACATGCCGATGGAATGTGATAAATGTCAAAAGTGAATATGCTTATAATAATTCTTTCAAGTTTTTATTTCTTGTTTGATTAATAATTAATTATAAGAAAATTTTTGGTCATAAACTAGTAGTGGTTAAAAAGTGTCATATTTGTTTTGTATAGAAAACAGAAAAGCCGAGCATTCTGTTACTTCTGCCAGGCACTGCAACGGTTGCCAGCATGCGCACACTGTGGCAAGGTTAAGTGTATGCTGAAGTCTGGAGATTGTGTGGTGCGCCATCCTGGAGTATATACTACTGGACTTGGCATGGTGGTATGTAAAAACTAACTATACTTACCTACAGTCACTAATACCTTATTTTGTTATTCTCAGGCCTTTGTCATCATTATCATCATCATCAATACATCTCTTTAAACTTTTTACTGTAATGTATGTGAATAAATTCTATTCACATTATCCACCTAGTACATATATGTATACATGTATATTAGATGTTCCATACTTGTCTCGGGCACATATGACCTGCAGTGTAGTAGAGGTGACCGGCTATACCACTATTTATGATGATGAGTCAATAAATATGGGGTGACTGTAGGAGAAAGACGCATATATATATGTATGTGAGTGAACTGAGTGAAGGAATTCATGAACATAATAGTGAACATAACATGTACTATAAACAAAAACCAGTAACAGTACTTACATGTTAACATGCAGTGATGCACATATAAAGTTCTTAAACCATGTAAAGTTAGTCTAATATACAAGGTTATTTTGCAGCATAAGCCCAAATTTGCAGAAGTTTCAAAATAAGTAATAATTCTTTTAGGGAATGATGAACATTAATTAATTTGCAAATATCTCAAACATTCTGTCCTTTTTTCTTTTAAATTAAGAATGGGTGGTGGTAATACATTATTTCAACTCATTATCATTCATAAATATTTAAAGCCTACTTTTTACTACAGATGCTCATGATGTAAGGATCGCTCAGACAGCAAAAACTTTGTGAACTGAGTTGCACACAGAGAAGCATGCATATGCATAGTTGTTGCCCATAAATGTCATTCAATTAGAGATCATTTCAAATAAAAGTAGAAGCCTTATTTACTCATATTATCTAAAACTGCAATAACAATATATCATTATTTGTATATTTGAACTTAAATATAAAATTTGGATACTCTTTTAAAAAATAACCCTTTATAGGTCTTTAGATAATGAAATCAATGTTACATCACATGACAGTCATATGTCTTAAAGTTGAGATATATTTTTGCAGTTTTCCATTAGAGATAATGATTGCTATGTTTACTACTTAAGGACTAGAAATGCTGTGTGAGAGGTTGTAGAGAGAAAATTTAAAGTTTTTAATAATATATGTCTAATAGGCATGGCAAGTTTCAGCAACATCTTCCTCACAACAGCTCAAAATAACAAAAAATTTAAAAGCTGACATGCCTGCCAAGTGTGGCAACTATGAAAATAGACTTATGTTCATTAGTGGACTTTTGATAATCTGTAATGAATGAATAATATACTTATCGGTGGTATCTCTTAAATTATCCAGGGAGCAATTTGTGATTTTTGCGAGGCGTGGGTGTGCCACGGGCGCAAGTGCCTTACAGCGCATGCCTGCACATGCCCGTTGACCGATGCTGTGTGTCTTGAGTGTGAACGAGGTAATAATTTATATGTTTTTTTATTTCATTTTATTGGCACTGCCTGCCTATGCCACTAAACCATTATCTACGAGTCAGCATCTACATTCAATTAGATTTTAGAAATTGACAGGTGTAATTTTGGAAGTATAAAATAATATCACTATATTTATTCCTGTAGAGTGATCCTTATGATTTAGGTTACTTGTATTTTAAAATTTTAATTGTGCATTCTTATGAAGTGGAATGAATGGTTCCATTCAACCAAGGGAGAACCACTCTCTCGCAGAATACAAGCACAACATAGCATAATGGTACTGTGTTTTGATTGGTGAGTGTAGTGACAATGCAGGTGCATTTTGAACCTTACTGGATTACAGATGTATATTTATAGGAATACTTCTGTACATAAATGTGTAAATTAAAGATATTAAATATTATACTTGTTGCATTAATTATATTTCAAGATAAACTAATTTGAGATGTACAGCCCAAAAACCCATACATTTTACTTTTTGCTGATGTGGTACGAACCACCGCGCCACAAATCACTGCATTATAGCATCTGTTTTCAACTTAGTGTGTGTAATAAACTGTTGAAGTAACAAAATGTGTACTTATTATATACGCCACTCCTACTTACATACTATCTCTTAAACTATCTTTAAGCTAGATAGCTAAAACTAATTTAACTAAAGAAGCTGTACGAGTCGCAAACTCTGGTCCATACACTGTAAACACAAGTGAAAAATTAGATTTTTTTCTGGTATTATTATAATCACCATATTATAAATATTATGCTCATTGTTCACTGCATGTCATTGCTACAAAAGCTGGCTATGGTCGATACAATCCTTAAAAATATTGCGTACAAAACCCTGAGTCTGAAAATAAATAGGGGTTATGTCACGTTGTTAAATGAGAGAGAATCCTTTGATTGGAAGTGCCATCTTACCTCATCCTTAGTGAATATTTATTTGTGTAGGTGTATGGGAACATGGTGGGCGTGTTTTCCGCTGCTGTTTCTGCCAAGGCTTTCTGTGTGAAGATGACCAGTTTGAGCACCAGGCTTCCTGTCAAGTTTTGGAGTCTGAAACATACAAGTGTAAGTTGCTATCTTTGTCTTTGTTTTATAATATGTTAACATATTTTTTGTTTTAAAGAATCCTTTCTACATATATTATGTATTAATAATAATAATAATGTTTTTTTAATATCCTGTATAATAGTTTGGGATAATCATGTTGATCTTGTTGTGATGATTAATTAATAAAAAAGAGATATACCTTTACATTGGATACATTTTTACGTGGTAGTTCCACATTATAGTGTATTATGGCTGGGTGCAGCATTAATGGGTTGGCTCAATCGAGGAAAGATGGTAAGTGTAGGGAACTGGAGATCCTTTTTACTCATAATAAGGCATTCCATATTAGTCGTCAGGGGTGGCAGTGCATTGCTTTTGCACATTTTATTTATTATGGACTGCTTCATTTGTTGGAGTTATTTTTACCTGATTGCATCAGAAGGTAGCTAATGTTTTTTCAGTGTACGTTTGTATAAATGTGTATTTCTTTGGCATGCTCTATAGCCTAATCACCTTGATGAATTTTAACATAATATGGGATGTCGTTTGTATCGTCATAGTTGTGGAAGTGACATAGGATATAAAATTTTCACTTTTCAGTGAACTTTATTACACAGTTGGGTTTTGTTTAAAATACTGTTTTAACAATTAAGCTTTTTACTGTATGGACTATAATCCTTCAGCTGGGATAGATATAGATATAGATATTTTTTTATTCATTATAGATTATTAATAATACTTACTGAAAGTCACTTATGCTTAATTTACCACTGGTTCGGAAAATACCTCAGTTCTGGGAAGAACCAGCAAGAAACTCAGTGGGATCCTCAGCATATAACCTGTGGGTTAGACATTTCCTATAACTACATCAAATTATACTGTCTAGGTGTTGGTAAGATAATTAAAGATAGCTATAGTTGTACTGCTTCTGACCTGGTCTACGTATATCACAGTTGTAAGACGTAACACTACCCGCAGGTCAATCATGCAACCGTCTGGGGCAGTACTCGTGCCTGCGCTGCAAGACGTGCTTCTGCGACGAGCACGTGCGGCGCAAGGGCGCGCGCCCAGACCGCCGCGCTGCCCCGCCCTGCACGCGCTGCGGCTTCGCGCTGCTGCTCACCGCAGACCTCAGCATGTCCAGTGAGTAGCCCCCCTGCCCGCGCTGCGGCTTCGCGCTGCTGCTCACCGCAGACCTCAGCATGTCCAGTGAGTAGCCCCCCTGCCCGCGCTGCGGCTTCGCGCTGCTGCTCACCGCAGACCTCAGCATGTCCAGTGAGTAGCCCCCCTGCCCGCGCTGCGGCTTCGCGCTGCTGCTCACCGCAGACCTCAGCATGTCCAGTGAGTAGCCCCCCTGCCCGCGCTGCGGCTTCGCGCTGCTGCTCACCGCAGACCTCAGCATGTCCAGTGAGTAGCCCCCCTGCCCGCGCTGCGGCTTCGCGCTGCTGCTCACCGCAGACCTCAGCATGTCCAGTGAGTAGCCCCCCTGCCCGCGCTGCGGCTTCGCGCTGCTGCTCACCGCAGACCTCAGCATGTCCAGTGAGTAGCCCCCCTGCCCGCGCTGCGGCTTCGCGCTGCTGCTCACCGCAGACCTCAGCATGTCCAGTGAGTAGCCCCCCTGCCCGCGCTGCGGCTTCGCGCTGCTGCTCACCGCGGACCTCAGCATGTCCAGTGAGTAGCCCCCCTGCCCGCGCTGCGGCTTCGCGCTGCTGCTCACCGCAGACCTCAGCATGTGCAGTGAGTAGCCCCCCTGCCCGCGCTGCGGCTTCGCGCTGCTGCTCACCGCAGACCTCAGCATGTCCAGTGAGTAGCCCCCCTGCCCGCGCTGCTGCTCACCGCAGACCTCAGCATGTCCAGTGAGTAGCCCCCCTGCCCGCGCTGCGGCTTCGCGCTGCTGCTCACCGCAGACCTCAGCATGTCCAGTGAGTAGCCCCCCTGCCCGCGCTGCGGCTTCGCGCTGCTGCTCACCGCAGACCTCAGCATGTCCAGTGAGTAGCCCCCCTGCCCGCGCTGCGGCTTCGCGCTGCTGCTCACCGCAGACCTCAGCATGTCCAGTGAGTAGCCCCCCTGCCCGCGCTGCGGCTTCGCGCTGCTGCTCACCGCAGACCTCAGCATGTCCAGTGAGTAGCCCCCCTGCCCGCGCTGCGGCTTCGCGCTGCTGCTCACCGCAGACCTCAGCATGTCCAGTGAGTAGCCCCCCTGCCCGCGCTGCGGCTTCGCGCTGCTGCTCACCGCAGACCTCAGCATGTCCAGTGAGTAGCCCCCCTGCCCGCGCTGCGGCTTCGCGCTGCTGCTCACCGCAGACCTCAGCATGTGCAGTGAGTAGCCCCCCTGCCCGCGCTGCTGCTCACCGCAGACCTCAGCATGTCCAGTGAGTAGCCCCCCTGCCCGCGCTGCGGCTTCGCGCTGCTGCTCACCGCAGACCTCAGCATGTCCAGTGAGTAGCCCCCCTGCCCGCGCTGCTGCTCACCGCAGACCTCAGCATGTCCAGTGAGTAGCCCCCCTGCCCGCGCTGCTGCTCACCGCAGACCTCAGCATGTCCAGTGAGTAGCCCCCCCTGCCCGCGCTGCAGCTTCGCGCTGCTGCTCACCGCAGACCTCAGCATGTCCAGTGAGTAACCCCCCTGCCCGCGCTGCGGCTTCGCGCTGCTGCTCACCGCAGACCTCAGCATGTCCAGTGAGTAGCCCCCCTGCCCGCGCTGCGGCTTCGCGCTGCTGCTCACCGCGGACCTCAGCATGTCCAGTGAGTAGCCCCCCTGCCCGCGCTGCGGCTTCGCGCTGCTGCTCACCGCAGACCTCAGCATGTGCAGTGAGTAGCCCCCCTGCCCGCGCTGCGGCTTCGCGCTGCTGCTCACCGCAGACCTCAGCATGTCCAGTGAGTAGCCCCCCTGCCCGCGCTGCTGCTCACCGCAGACCTCAGCATGTCCAGTGAGTAGCCCCCCCTGCCCGCGCTGCAGCTTCGCGCTGCTGCTCACCGCAGACCTCAGCATGTCCAGTGAGTAGCCCCCTCTGCCCGCGCTGCTGCTCACCGCAGACGTCAGCATGTCCAGTGAGTAGCCCCTCCCCCTGCTCGCGCTGCGAAGTTTTTGGCAGATTTAGATGGCAGTTTGAGTCAGCAGACAGTTGATAACGACAGTACTTCAAGGCGCCAAAGCGGAAACCTTGTGGTTCACATCACCGTTGGAGCATTTGTGCAACGGTGCATTTCCACTAAATAGTTCACATGCGCAGACATTTTATACACAAAATCGCACCACTTTACGTTTACACGTCCACTTCAAATCAATATTTATATAGTAAAACAAAAGCAACAATCCGCCTTCCGGTCTAGTTTACACCAAAACTACTTTGGTTCATAATTGAGAATAGGCCCAGTTGTCTTTGAGGCCACAGGTTCTCCAAAGGTTAATTGTTTCGACTCCTGAAAACTTTTTTTTTTTAAATTAAATTTGCTGTGACATTTTTCATCAGTTTCCTATTAATCCTCTTATAAATTCACACATTATATAGGTATATTTTAAATACAAATGTTTTTATTGTTTTTAAGCAAACTTACAGTTATTCACAATCAATTGTTTTGATACATTTATGTACAAATGAACCATTATAAAGTTTTTACATGTAAAATATAACGCTCTTTTTCATGCAGCATAACATAGATAACATTTTTAGAACAGAAGTTTATTTTACTACTCCAATAACAAGATATCTATATATATTTATTATATTTTATATTATGTTATAATGCATGAATAAACTCGTTTGTTTCTTTCTTAATGTTATATTTAACAAAGACATTGGTGTAACTTTCAGCGCGTTCCCATCGCTACGGGCGGCAGGGCGCCGTGCCAGCCGACGACGAGGACTACGGGGGCGCCTACACCGCCGGCTACACCGGTAGGTTTACTGTAACTGTCGCCACCGACACCAAATTCAACTCAAACTGATTGCTGAAAACCTTTACTGATTTATTCTTAAATTTTCACGCTACATACTCCACAAAAATAATTTTCTATGTGTTAGTTATGTTATGGTTGTAGCACGAAGTGGTCGGCTCGACTAGGGAAGGACCATGTTCTCACAGAATACCAGCTTAACATGCAACTTAATGCTGCTGTATTTCGTATGGTGAATGTGGAGAATCAGAGATCCTTTTTAGTGGAAATGAGGCATTCTATCTTAGTAGTCAGGGGTGGCAACGCATCTACATTTTGATTCTTAATCGGGGATACGTGAAGATGTCTATAAGCCACAGCATCCACTTACCATCATATGAATTTTATGCTCATGTGTCATCCTTATTCTATAAAATACAATAAAAATTCGTAATCGGTGCCTCTCACTATAATTGATTGTGATTGGTAGGATACGATGCCAGCGCTGAGGGCGGAGACTACTCGTGTTCCGGCTCCGAGTCGGATGACGATGATGATGACGACGACGAGGAAGATTCCGAGGAAGAGGATTCTGATGAGAACGAGCAAAGTGAAGACGCAGCAGCTGCGTCTAGTGGCAAGGCCGCAACTTCGTCTTAGCTCCAACAATTTTAATGCATTTGTATACAAACTGTATATTTCATGATAATAAATCTTAGTTATTATTGTAGTTCAACTTTTCCATTCTTTTTAAAACCTTTGTTTTGAATAAAACAATTTTTTACGGATTATATCTCGTAAATTAAGTTATTTTATATTCAGTGCTGCAGTACCTTCAGCGGTGCCAAGTTGACTGTCGGTATATCGAAGTGCTGAAGTATTTGTACAGTAGGGCTACGATTTACCTATCCGAATACAGAACCAGAGTATGAAACCTATCCAATTGCAGAGAGGTGTAGGACAGGGTGACGTCATACCACCGAAACTCTTCACCGCTGCATTGGAAGACGTTTTTTTTTATTAATTTAATTTAACTTAACGCGAGAAAATATTCGTACAATGACTTTTTATGACTTTCGATGTCGTTTAAGTCAACAAGAAAGTTATGATAGTGTTCGCGCAAAACACTGTTGTCGGAGTCGACACCAGATGTCACTCGGCTCGGCGCGATTCCGGTTTGAACTTCGGCTGGGGCGTGGCACGAGCGCGCGAGTCGCGAGCGAAAAGTCAGTCGTCCATAATCGGTGCTGACGTGAGCACGCGGTCAGGATCATGACAATAAATCTAGCTTTCGTCACCAGTAAGTATGTCGAACACAGCATTTGAGTCGCCTCCGTTAAATCTTTGAACCATTTCACGACACCAATCAAAACGACTGAGGGACTCTGTCAAATTAAGAGGTATCTATCCACCGGGCACAAAGCTTCTTGACCGCTAAATGTTCATGGAGGATTTTGTGCACTTGACTGATACCGATGCCTAAGCTTGTCCGAATCTGCTGATAAGTCACTCTTTTATCAGTCTCTATCATACGCAGCACAACACTGATGTTATCTTCAGTCGTCGCCGTAGAAGACCGTCTCTCACGCAGATCATTGGTGAGATTAGTACGACCACGTTTAAACACATTAAATCAGTTGTAAACAGTGGCACGAAATGGGCCTTCATCATCAAAGTCGAAGTCATTCGAAGTCTATCTGTTACGGCCTACGGCTGCTCCCTTAAAGGATCCAATCTTCAGGGGCCCATGAGCTGAAGACCTCCCGAACAGACGTAGGTCGGGCCTTAATGTGGCCACGTGGAAGTTCCTAATTACATTAAAATATATGGGGGAGCGTTATACTACGGCCAGTCGACCGGAAGGAATTAAAAGAAAAAGCTTACTTACCTATCCAAGGCGACTGGTCCCTCCGGAGTCGGTCAGGTTACATGTGGTTGTGTAGTGCAAGAGAAAGAATGGTGATGTGGTGTGTATCTGGGTGTGACTGATGGTGATTGAACCTAGACCTTGGCCGTCGGCAGCAGCCCGAGCGTCGACACCGCTCCACTTGAGGGGGCATTTCGAGGTTATCCACAGTCACTCACTGCCACTAACTATCGCTGGGTATAATGGTTACCGCACAAACGCACACGGAGTTTAAAGGGTCAAAGGTCACTACCGTTTCGCGTAGCAATAGTTAATTCTAGAATCAGAGGCCGCACTATCTAATATTGCCGAATGCACTTATGCAGGTTTTGAGTCAGACACAATAAGTCCCGGGAAGCTCTCCAGTAGGAATACGCGTCACAATGATAGACCGTATATTTACTGGCCGCGCCGAATTATTCCGAGTTCCCTAACAGAATGGACCGCGTGCTCACGTCAGCACCGATTATGGACGACTGACTTTTCGCTCGCGACTCGCGCGCTCGTGCCACGCCCCAGCCGAAGTTCAAACCGGAATCGCGCCGAGCCGAGTGACATCTGGTGCCGACTCCGACAACAGTGTTTTGCGCGAACAAACCCCCGTCCCGGACATAAGGATTTAGGTCCGCGAGCAAACCGGTCAGCGGGACAAGGTCGAGACTGCAAGTTGCAAGACCGAATCTACAACCAAACTAGGCCACCTTAGGCAACCCATCAGGTCTTGCAACCCTAACCAGCGCCTCAAAAGATAGCCCTAACGTGGCAAGCCGGAGGGTCAGCCTCCACTGGATCCTGGGCATCGCAGCACTTTATCAAGTCCTGTACTGGACAGAAGTCCGACGACCTCTTTCAAACACCTATCTGTGCCCCTATGATTAGTTTCGCAATCCGACCGGATCATGTCTGCAAACAGCGACGCGACACGAAGCGGCCCCGAGCGGCCTCCTAAGCTTCAGTGCAAAGAGCACCCACGAATTCCACATGAACGTCGTCTGTGGAGAGCCGAACGAAACGCACAGATAGTCCCTAGTATGAATTTTCAACAAGTAGGCCTAGCCAGGCCACCCACCATATTATCATTTACTAAAATAGTGCGGCAGCTGATTTCAATCTGATAATCTCCAAAACTAGCTAGCCTGTTAGGCAAGTAGTCCTATGCTCATATTTCAACTAATTTTTCAAAAGCATCAATGTTCAACTACAGAATTAATTCAACCAAATTAATCACCGATGCGCATAGGTCAACTTGCAAATTAAACAAAACAATAACGTAAGGGACAGCCCTACTTCTTCGCAAAGCAAAATGATTAAACACTATCATAAACATAAACATAATTTTTCAAATAGTGCGCCATTCAATTTCAGATGAATTCAAATTTTCCTTTCAGCAAGCAGACGCAACAATCAAATACAGTGATTAAATATATGTACAAAACACATGCAGCAGCATTTAAAGGAGTAGATTAAATTCAATTCTTTTAATTTAAACCGCTACAAATAGGAAAATTTCGCGGAAAGCCAAAGCATTTTTTAATTTTAATTCAAAGTATTTTTTAACTAAGTGCCCGACCAAACCAAATCTAATACCCCTCGACAACGTGATTCAACGCTCCAGGGGGGCCCTAATCTTCCCACCACCAAGGGGAGGCCACATGGCGTGAACCCGAGATAAATAGAGCACAACCTTTAACAGTTGCCACTCGGGTTGTATGCCTTCACTGAGGCCGTCGGCAACAGAACATTTTGACAAGTGGACTGTTGACGGCTTAAGGCTCAGTGGAGGCGGCCGTGGTGGGAACTAAGGCGGCAGCTAGACAGGGCCGCCTCCATCAAATGGGTAACAGTGGTACACCAGTCGCGGCCACTCAGCTAACGGAAGTGAGAAGGGTCCAGCGGACATGAGTGGCCGTGAAGTTCCTCTCCACACGCTGAGGGGGGGTGATGACACCCCCGCCCCTGGGGGAATTACCCCCCGACTGGTCGGGGGAAGAACTCCTTTCAAACTTAGGGGCCTGGTGGCTGGCCGGCGGGCGCCGAGAGTCACCCTGCAGAGGGCGTGGCTGAGCGCCCCCGCCCGTGGGGGTCGAGAGCCTGGCAGAGCCCCGAGAGGAGATGCCGTTCGCACCCAGGCACAAAACGGCATGGTGATTGCCCTGGCAATGCAGACAGGGCCGTCGATGCGGACAGTCTCGCTGGAGGTGCCCTCCCAGACATGACCAGCACCAGCGGCGCTCCTTGGCGATAGTTCGCCTCGCTGGAACCGGCTTACCTAATAATTTCGGGCACAACGTTACCCGGTGATCAGATGCTCGACAATAGGAGCAGGGGGGGGGGGGGGGGTTGACGACGACTTGCCTGGAGGATTCAGCCTCTCACTGGGCACGGCTCGTAAGTCGTCAACGGTGCCCGCCGCGCTCTCTATCTGCCGGCACTGCTCCTCCAAAAACCGCAGCAGGTCATAGAAGGGCGGAATATAGGAGGCCTCGTCCCCGCCGTACCTCTCCTCAAAATGGATTCGCAGGTCGAGAGGTAGACGGGACAGCACGACGCGGAGCAACAAAAAAGCCCATTCGCCCACTGGTAAACCCAGCCGCCTCAATGTATTACAGGCCACCAAGACTGGATCCAACAGGTCCGGACGCAGTCTGGCCCGGTCACTAAGCAGCGGGAGGCTTAGAAGCTGCTTAACATGCTCGTCTGCAATTCGCCGGACGTTGGCGTATCTTCTGGCTAGGAGGTCCCGAGCAGTGTGGTAGGCGTCGTCCGACAATCTCAAGTGGCCGACGACGCCCAGGGCCTCCCCCTCCAGTGATGCCAGGAGGTACGCCATCTTTTGGCTCGGGGTCAAGTCACTCCGGGCGTCCACTAGGCTGTCGAAAAGACCAACGAAGGTCAGCCATTCGGAATGGACCCCGGAGAACTTTGGCAGGTCCAGAGTTGGGAGTCGTCCCAACAGCTCCGGCTGAAGCTGCTTCAGAGAGGACTCGGATAGGTCACTCATCCGAGCTTCACGCGCCTCCTCGGCATACCTGCCTTCAGCCTCGATCAACTCGTCCGTGAGCCACAAGAACTGCTCATAGTCCGCGAAGCAGGAGTCCAGGACTCCCTTCTCCACATCCGAATCCTCGAGCTCAGCGTAAGCCTCCTCCACTACGGCCCTTCGAGCATCCACCTGCTCGAACCGCTTCATCAAGTTATGGACCCTATCCGGTCGACCTATCAAAGCATGGGCACCTGTGGCCCAGCGTAGCTCAGTCCGCAAACAACGGATCAGTAGCTTGGGCGATGTCATCACTATTAAATGCAAATTACGACGCGGCTTGAGCACAGTTTACAAAGATAACAAATAAAAAATACAACAAAAAATTAACAGTTAATAAATGCAGTTCCTATCAAATCGCGTTGAATAGAAATTACACAAATACGAATTGCTACGTATCAACCAAATACAAGTTAGCACAAAAGAAAAGACACAAATCAAATTAACAAATAACAAATACTAGTGCGATCGAATCAAGTTAAATTCAGATTGCGCAAATACAAATTACTACTCTTTAGTTCAAATACAACTTACAGTATAAACGAAGATACACATCACGGTCGATCAACAAAAAATGCCTAGCTCGGAAATCGACCCTTCGATAAGTAATCCACTACAACTATCCGACAACGATAATTAACCGATTACGTAAAAATAACCATCTACCTACATGACGTATATCTCTAGAAAACTCCCGCTTGCGCAACCTAGGGCGCGGCTTTTCAAATCTACCTACTAACCAAAAAAAAAGGCAAGCAACAAACAACTTAGGGAAATAATTCT